ATGGCAGTGAACCAGCACAGTATACTGAACACAGGCAATGTCTCTTGTCACAATCAAAAACACAACAACTTACGGAGGTGTCATCTTCTTCATTGACGTCAACTGACTTGAAGTGCAGAATATAGTCAACAAGACCTTGCATCATTTCATCACTAAGATGTTCCCCACAATCGCAGAGAACAACTATCATCGTGACCTATGTGATATCCAAAACAGAAGAAACAATATGACAATTACAACAATGACAGCAACAATACTCTCAGTACAATGCCATTAGGAGTTAGGAAACCTACTGATTGACCTCAGAGGTCAAAACTAGTCAAATTGTCATAACTTTATTCCAACTTGAGAGAAGATTGCAGCAATTGCACATCTTGTAATGTTATGTCACAGAAACAATTTCCACTGATCATCAGTCACTTGACAATGGTACAGACAAGAAGACAGCGTGTCACCACTTGAACATGCCTAATAAACACATACGGGTACGTGATCACACACACACACACACACACACACACACACACACACACACACACACACACACACACACACACACACACACACACACACACACACACACACACACACACACACACCTGGTCCTGGTAAACACTGCCATTACGGTCACGTGTCCCCTTGCGGGGCCAACAACATGGAAATGACGAGCGACGCCAGAAAGTCGGCAGTCTGCCAAGAGATCAGGAACCATGTTCAATCAGCACGACGAGAGAGCCATCTTTGGCAGCTATGGATTTGGAATCAACGAGTAGAGCTGCAGCACCGACCACAGGCCCCACAGTGGGCCTTGCAGCATGAGAGGGTGAGCCGCACACGCGGCGGCGGAGGAGTCGCCTGAGCAGCAATGATAGGCACCGCCGCCCGGCACGGAGCCAGAGATGATGTCGCGGGGAGTATCCGGGAGTTGGGGCACTTGTTGACCGCCAAACCTCCGGCACTGCGGAACCAGCGCTCGCAGGTAGAACATTGTCGGCTACCTCTCTGTACCGATACAGATTTGCGACGCTCATCGAGGCATTTATGACGAGGAAAACCACTCCTGGAGAAGAGACGGCCACACTCGGCACAAGCCATCCGCAGGGGCTCAAAACACACACACACACACCAGTGGCGGGTTTAGGGGGGGGGGGGCACGGGGGCGCCCCCCTCAAAGGTTTCGACCTTGGTTTTGAAAAATTAAAGGCAGGGCACCTGGGCTAGCTAGGCTAGGCTCGGGGCGCGTGGCCTGAAACGATCATCTAAAAGCGGTTGCACGGTACAGTGCTCGAGCTGGTGTTGATTGTACACACTAGAGTCCAGACTAGTAGTGGTAGTAGTACAGTGTACACACTACAGTCCAGACTAGTAGTGGTAGTAGTACAGTGTACACACTACAGTCCAGACTAGTAGTGGTAGTAGTACAGAGTACAGAGTACAGTCTAGTGAGTACTAGTGCACGACTACAGAAACACGGTCACCTGACTGTGTACACTGTACTGTTGTACAGTGTGATCCCAGTGCTGGGACACGCTCGACGCGTCTTCAACGTACAAACATCAAAGAAAAGTCTTTGAGACAACCAAAACACGATTCGAATGCCGAGGGCTCAGGCGATCACCCTCGTTCGAATCGTGTGTTGGTTGACTCGAAGACTTTTCTTCGATGTCTCAGCGACATCCCAAAAGGCCAAGCTCTAGCCAGCAGAGCCTGGATTGTTTGTGAAGCGTTTCTGTGGCGGCGCAACTCCTGCTGCCGCTCCAACAGGAAACAGTGGGAGTGATGAAGTCGCTGTTATTCCAGTTGAACTTTCGGAGCGGACTGACAGTCACACTCCGCCAAACGCGGAAGCACCTGTGGTCAGCGAGCAGCCAGAACATGAAGACAAGCGCACAGTGACAAGTAGACATAGTACCGCTGCCTATGTAAAGGATGCTTTGAGCGGTGAGAAATTGTTGGACTCGCATAAATTGCAGTTGATTCGCTCACATAACGGCAAATTTGAAGTTTCCAATGTAGATCTACAATGTTGCTTCGTGTACAGAAATACTGCTCTCGTGGTATGTGAGATTTACGGCTTCTTGACATCGGTTTTCAAAATGGCTGACCTGGGACAGTAGCATGATGTCTACCCCCACCCAGGGAGTCGTAAAATAAAGTACTTTACGACTCCCTGCCCCTACCCCATCCCTGCCCCTACCCCATCCCTGCCCCTACCCCATCCCTGCCCCTACCCCATCCCTGCCCCTACCCCATCCCTGCCCCTACCCCATCCCTGCCCCTACCCCATCCCTGCCCCTACCCCATCCCTGCCCCTACCCCATCCCGGCCGCAATCCCCCCCCCCCCCCCACCAGCCAAATCCTGGACACTGCACACGCACTCACACACACACACACACACACACACACACACACACACACACACACACACACACACACACACACACACACACACACACACACACACACACACACACACACACACACACACACATGGGTACATTCACCTACACACAGGCGCGCGCACGCGCACACACATACACACACACACTTACGCTTGTGCACACGCACACACACACGCGCACACACACACACACACACACCTATACATACATACACACACATTACATCAACACCCTACTTACTCCTAGTGTGTAGGAGCTTGTGAATGTATAACCAGGTGGTGTCCATCTAACTTTCTGGACTCCAGTACTGTGCAGAAGATGAAGGACGTTGAACACCAACGCATATATCATGTATCGCTCGTCCTTTCTCAGAAACTGCATCAGCAAATCTCTTCACAGTTTCTTGAAGATCTGGATCGTACAAACAGACACAACATACGAATGACGTTATCATCTCTTCACTATTGTTGGCACATGCACAGACACACACGTCATGACGTCATAGAGACGTCCCTTATTTGGACAGTGGCAAGTAATGACATTTGTCGCCACAGAGTACAGCGTGGTACAGGTATCCTAGCAACCATCATTCACAAACAAACGTCACAATAACCGTACATACAGCTATATATGGTTGTCAGTGACTGTAGCTGAAAGAGGTGAAGACGATCAATGAACGACATCACGAGGGTGTCTTCACAACACACTGCAACACATGCAATTTACGTTCTTCAACAAAATTACAGAAACGACCGACAAATGTTACACCTCATTGCTACCACTGCCTCAACAACTCTCGACGAAAGAAAACTACTCCACACCTCAACAAACAAACAATTTAGGTCACTGAATGGCCGTCACTTTGTGACACGAGACTAGGACAGAGACGAATGTTCACGACAAACGGCATTCAAAAGCAAAGGAGATGAACGACGGCAAAGCGTAGGTATTGGGAAGAAACCTGTTTTTGCTCACAGTCTAGGATGGGCCCCTTCCATCTCGCTTCCATCGATCACAAGAAACACTACGAACTACTCCGACTCGACTAACTGAATTGCGGGAAATGTTTCAATTGAAACTTCACACGACGAGGAAGGGCACTGCTGAAGTAAAACATCAACATGCAAATACTCTAGTCCAGTACCTATGGCTGAGTTTCAAAACCTCCTCCCTGATGTTCCTTGGACATGAACAAGACTACTAATGAACTGCAAGGAACGGACGAAAGTCTTGACGAGCAACCAGAAAGTATTCTGCTGCGCGACTGGAAAATGTGAGGGATCAACTGACTGAACCTTTGAACTCTGACCTCTAGTTTGCTAGCGCTCTGTTGATGTATGGAACATTACAGACAGCAGTAGACTGTTCATAGTCTGATACAAAATGTATTACTGTGGATGACTGTAATCGGTACTGACTCTTTCTAGTGCAGTACAGTGTGCGCTACCTACACAGCCTAGCCTACGTACATAAATGTAATTGTTACGTCATAGACAAACGTCGATTTGGTACAACAAGGAAGGACTCTAGCGAAGTCTCATGAGCTCAGACATCAGAGTCATTGCTGCATAGCATCTGTATCTGTGCATAGCACTGGTGAGTAGATTTACTGGGGACTAGACCAGAGAAACCACACAACACTCTACAGACCCGAAACAAAGTGCAAATTATAACTTTTGGAATCAACTAAGTGATCAGGACAGTGGCCTATGCAATGCACGGCCGGTCGAGATCATGACATGATCTGCTGACCCCAAACACGGTCATACTGTGATCAACCAAGCCATGATCAAGGGTACAGAAATCTCCACTACCCAAACCAATCGAATACAAATGCGACTATGTCTACCTGGTCTAGCATACACTGTTCTGGTGGGCCTAAACTGAATCCTACGCCAGAGCGCTTTTATTTCCAAAAGAGTGGTAGAATCTGACACTCCGTGACTGCGTGTTATTGGATACTACTTGGAATAGTAGATATCTTTGTCGCTGCATTCTCTTGAATTCTCAATTATGAAAGTGACATAGATCTACCGTACACATCTCACATGCCTACTAGTGTGTGTTCAGACAATATCCAGTAGACTGTGGGAGAGAGAAAGAGCCACACATCCATTCAGATAAGACGTGATCTTTTCAACGCAGACAAGGTCAAAACACCCCACACACAGTGACACAGACACTCAGTCGCACGCACTCACGAGCGCGCGCGCGCGTACGTACCTCGTTGCGATTTTGCTGCAGGCTGAGTTTGAGAGGCAGCGGCGGCGGCGGCAGGTTGTGTTGGTTGCGGGACGGTAGCAGAGGTAAGTCTGGTCACTTCGCGTCCGTCAGAGGACACAACAACATCTTTAGAATGGTACTTCGTATGAAATTTGGTTGAAGGCATCTTGGCAGTCAAATAATTTTGTTTCTTAGGAAAAGCAAATACTAGTAATCAGTAGTCAGTATGAATTGTACTGCAGAAAATCTCACAGAGAAAGAGGAGGGACGACAGGATCTAATGTATGTGATTGAACAAGCGCAGCGTCTCAGCGTCTTTATTCCAGCCATGCGCTTATGGTTGCTCTGACCTGGCATAAGCAGTCAGCTTGGACACTGCAACTGGTTGGTTGCTAGGAGCTACGTTGCTTATTGGTTGAATTTGAATCTGTCGTTCATTGAATTGTCTTTGACAACACGGTGTTGTGACCAGTGGTGACAGGCTTGTGCAGACCATGGACGGCTTGTACTAGTTGTAGGACTAGACAGAGCAGGCTCTTTGAGTAGAGCAGCAACCTGACAACTCACACATGATCTGAACATGTTGACATACACGATACAGACTGTGCGAAGCCCATCGATCCAGCCGCCGATCATAGGGGCACGTGATTCAAGGATCTTCCATCTCGCTATGTTATAGTATGTATTTGTACGTCTGTGAGTGTGAGTGTGGTGACACCAAGAATCTACATGCATAATCCTTGGAGAGTGCATGTCAAGTACTTGAGACGGGTTGCAATAATCTAGACCTCTAGCCATACTCGTACATAACAATAATTTCCTTTGGGTCAGCAGTGGTCAGGCGATAAGGAAAACTCGCATCACGTGGTGTAGTGCTCATGAGTCATGTCGGACCTACACAGATGTGTACAAGATTATTCTCGTTAGCCATGGTGCAATAATATTAGTACTCCTTGATCTTCATGGCGAGACCATGACAAAATACACCCAACAGTTTTCATTCATTTCAACTATCATGCCTTCTAATGCATTCTGAAAATGTCACAGCTGATGCTTACGCACACCCAATCCCTTGTACACCCGTTTTGGACAGATAAGATCCCAGCTCAAAGGTACATTGCAAACTCTGCTCCCTCATGACCCGTAATCCTAACAATGCCGTACACTTACTCTCGGACGATCAAGAACAATGCACCCAAGAACGAGCAGATCAGAATTTTACCAGGCATATGATACCCGTCTGTACAAGGTGGCTCGGCCATATACAAATTTCCACATGAGAATAAGAACGTTCTAGTCTACAACTCTCAACCGGTACTTCCTGGGCACCAGTACAGCTGCACTGTAACTAGTGTAAGGAGGGATGTCATCGGGTAGTAGGGTACCCGTGCTACCCATCATCGTAAGTATCGTAATAACAGCAGGAATACAGGTAGCAGTGGACATGTCACTGCTGTGGGTGGACCACAGAAATCAAACCTGGCCACAGCAGTGAGCAGTCAAGGCAAGCGCTGCTGCCAGAGACATGCCAAAGACCATGACCGATCTGAGTGGGCTCAGCGCACCACAGACAAGATGGAGCTCCGGAGGGATCTCTCAGATCAGCCTGAGCTGGTTTTGCTCACGGCTGCAATGCACAGGGTTGGGAAACCAGGACAGAAGCGGGAAAGTGCAGCATCATGACTTTACCCTTGGTTACGCTGGAGATTGGCGCACCCACGGGGCTATCTATCATACAGCATAGCAGCCAAGGGTGCGACCATACAAAGCGCGCATGTCTCGTACCGCACTCACAGACCGTGGCCGATAACGACGGATTATGGCTCTTCGAGGGGAAACTAGGGGTTTCCCCCTACTGGATAAGACCTCACCCCGTGTTTCAAAGTACGGGCGCGGGCTCGTACATAGTCATTCAGAGCGCACTCGAAAAACATAATTTCGATTCTGGAACAATTTCTTTAGCTGTCACTCAGACATGGCCTGGCGAGACGCCGCATGCCGGCTGAAGAAGTGATCCAGTCCATCATCGACTCGGACAGTGATGACTGGAGCTGCGATAGTGAAGGAGATGACTCAGATGCGGACATAGCCGTCCGCGATAGTGACGGAACAAATTTCGCGGACGTGTCCGCCGTGGTGGATGTCGTACCTACTGCCGTGGTCGCATTGGACGGCCCTGAGGATATCGGAGATGTCGATGTCGAGCTTGAGCAGGGCGCAACAACACAAGTCACGCCAGCGCAGGACGCAGACACGAACGCTGATCATGAAGAAATATTTTTTGATGCACAAACTTGTGTACATGGACCAGACAATTTTCCTGCAGCACGTGACGATGCAGCCTGGACGAAAAGGAATGCCAAACCTACTATTCCTGAATTCTCTGCAGGGGCTGGAATCCCAGTACAGCCAGCAGATGATGCCACAGCATACTGGTTTTTGAACTTATACTTTGTACATGTACTGTAATTCTGGCAGCTGCTCGTCACCGAAACGAACCGGTATACGGCGCAGTGCATAGCCCGTTCCACGGCCGGGCCATTTTCCAGCCTGCGTTCCTGCATGCCAGTGACAGGGGCAGAGATGAAGATATTTATTGCTCTGTACTTACTGAGTGGTCTGGTGGACAAGCCCCAAATGAACCTATTATTGAAGCTTTGACGCTACGGTCGGCACACCTGCATTTCAGGCCCTCACTGTGATGCGCAACCATTTCCAACGCATCGTGCAATGCCTGCCCTTCACAAACAGTGAAGCCGATAGCCAGGATGGCCGTCTGATAAAGGTAAAGCCATTATTTGATTTACTTGTGGGCCGCTTCAAGCACGTGTACAGACCTAAATGCAGTGCTGCCAAATAATTTTCGCCCAAAATCGGACACCGTTCATCGCCAAGGCTGGCCACATGGTGCGAATTTTTCTCCTCTGCAATATTTTCCGGAGAATTCAAAATACCGCCCAAAATACCATGGAAATTCGCTTTGTTGCCATGGTAACTGATCTTGCACACCGAAGTAATCGGTTGCCATGCCTGAATTCTGTAATCCTAGTAATGCATGAGCGTGGTCACACACTGTACAGTGTACATGCCCTCGTACTTTGCACTTCCACCGCCCAGCGCTAGCCTTTTAGAAGCACATGACAGTGATTTGTGCCTTCAGTTGCGCTGAAAAAAGAAAATACAGGACTTCTGAATAGGAAAGTACTGATCCCTGGCATTTTTGGCTACTTTTCGGACGTTCCCTTTTCGGACCGGTTTTCGGAAGAGCGTTCAAAAATCAGACACTGTCCGAAAAATCGGACGGTTTTGCAGCACTGTTTAAAACGCCAGATGTATGTGTTGGTGAAGAACTGGTTTTGTTCTAGTGGTGTCCAGGGTACCTGGGTACCCGCTCGTTAGTCTCACGTACCGTTAGTAAAATGGTACCCGTTTGGATTTCGATGATCCAGTCAGCATGGTCAGTACGGAACAACACTGCTGGGATCGCGCATTCCAGGCGGGAGTCAATTATTTACAACTCCACGCTGGATGTCAGCATTGTTGTTGCATTTTCGCATCTAGTAGATCTACCTCTCCAACAAACAGACACAAATCAATTTGAGAATCACAATGTGATATCAAAATGCAACCTGTTTTGGTGAGATCTCAGTGCCCCGTGGCACAACCCTCGTAACAGACACAAGCTCAGAATTTCTCTTGTTGGTTAGAAAGTGTTCTTTATTGATCTGTCTCTGTTCTCGGCAGTTGTGTGATTATAAGAAAAGGTTTACAAAGTGAGTCGTCCATGTAAGGAAAACCGTACTTAAGTAGTATCGTCCTCTTTACGGAGGTGACACAGTGGATGGCCAAACGGGTAAAGCACAAACGAAAAGGGTGCTGCGAGTTAGTGCAGTCATGCAGCAACATTCTCCCCCTTGGTAACAAACCGTGGAAGAGTTAACATGAACATGTAAACAGGAACTGAAGGGAAGCGAAAAAGACTATATTCAAACCTAGCAACTATCGTGCTATCCGAGTAGAAACAAAGGTGGATGGTCCATGGACGCACAAAACAAAACGAAAACAAGAAAAAAAAGAAAAAGAGAAGAAAAAAACAGTGCAGCTAGCTGCAGCGCAGAAGTGCGGGAGGCATGAGAGCTCTACGACAGCACGTCCAGTCATAGAGCGTGCTTGAAGTGCGATCTTGATGGATCCAACGAGCCGCTCCCAGGCTCCGCCTGTGTGGGGTGCCGCCGGCGGGGCTTCATTCAGCTCCCGAATGGCCTGGTGGAGCTCTTTGGCGGCGCCTTTGAAGTTGGTTCCGTTGTCTGAGTGGATCACCAGTGAGTAGCCTCGCCTGCTGATGATTCTCCGGATAGCCATTAACGTTGAGTCGGTGGACAGGTCGTGCACTAGCTCCACGTGAATGGCTCGGGTGGCAAGACAAGTGAAGAGAGCGCCGTACCGCTTCTCATGTCTGTGCCCAACAGTGACAGACAGCGGGCCGAAGTAGTCCAGTCCTGTCTGTGTGAAGGGTCGCTGAAAGGCGTCAGTGCGGTACTCTGGCAGGGCAGACATGATTGGTGGCTGCGGTTTGGCACGGAGATCCTTGCAATGCTGGCACTCGCTCCAGGTGCTTCTTACCGCTGCACGGATACCGGGTACCCAGTACTTCTGACGCAGCTCGTTCACTACGCGATCCTATCCTTGATGTAGTGACCAGACATGGTGTTGCTGCATAAGCAGCCTAGTGAAGGCGTGTTTCGGCACGGGAGCAGAACAGGTTGGCGCAGGTTCTTGTTTCCAACCGTTGCGTTCCGTACGCGACTGTCAGAGCACATGATGCCATAGTCGTAGATGAAGATTGTCATCTGGACCAGGCGCCTGTCCTTGTCCACTGGCTTGCCATTGCGGAGCGTAGCGAGTTCTTCGGGGAAGCCTTCCGCTTGTGCAGCTTTCCATCAAAAGACTCTCCGCGGCTCGCAGCTCAGGGGACTGTCAGCGACGGCTTGGCAGCGTCTCTTTCTCCGTGTCTCAGGTGGCGAGTGAAGCGTAGCACCCAGACGGTTGCTCTTACCAGGCGACACCAGTTTGAGAATCGCTTGATCTCTGGTTTTACTGCCTTCAGGTTGGGTGGCTCTGAGCTGTCTCCGGCTGCTGCGTTGTCGCCACTGAACGGATGCTTCAGCTCGGGATCATCAAGGTCCGGCGTACGAGTCTCCTCGGCGGGCCAGTCTGCTTCGCCTTGCCTCAGATAGTCCGGGCCGCCCAACCAGCGATCGTCCGGCTGCAAGCGCTGGGCAGAGATGCCTTTAAAGAGATCGTTAGCTGGGTTCTCTCTTGTTGGTACCCAGTGCAACTGGTCTACTTCAGTTGTGTCCGTTATTTCCGCCATCCGCTGGGCCACAAATGGTTTGTATTGTCGTGTGTCTGAGCGTATCCACAGCAACACCGTTCTGGAGTCCGTCTAGAATATGACCCGTGGAATTGAGATACACAGCTGCTCCCGGGCGGTACAGGATAGTCGCGAGGCGAGGACCGCAGCCTGGAGTTCCAGACGGGGTATGGAGGCCGGTTTTATTGGAGCAACGCGTGCCTTCGCTGCGATTAGGGACACTGCCAGCTGAGTATCATGGTTCGCTACTCTCAAGTACGCACCGGCGCCATTATGCTTTCTCGTTTGCTTCGGAACACGTGCAGCTGGATGTCGGTAGCGACTGTAATCAACGGTGTGTAGCACCGTGGCACTTCTACGGTGGCCACCTGGTCTAGCTCTGCAGCCCAATCATTGCCTTGCTCCGTTGAAGGGTGATGTCGTCCTCACGCCAGAGTAGCCCCGTTGGCCACCGGCGTCCGTTGCGTGTGGTGAGAGTATCTAGCAGCTGGAGTGCGCGGTCGTCAGCCTTGCTGCGAATTTTCGTGGGCTTGATCCCGAAGGAGTCGAGGGCGAACTACTACTTGATCAGGTCTTGGAGGTCGCTAACGAGACCCCAGTTGGACAGAAGCACGCCTTCGTCGATTCTGTAGTGGCGGGCACTCATTTCGCCATGAACAACCCACCCTAGCTTGGTATGTGTGGCTACGGGTGCGTTTGGTGGGCCCTCCGCGGTCACCCGTGGTGCAATCAAGTTGTAATGGTCTTGTCCGATTAGGAGTCTGGGCTTGGCGCAGGGCAACGTTGGTAGGTTAAGTCCCTCCAGTTGGGGGCAATTGTTGAACCGTTCAGGGTTCATTTATTGTGTTGTCAGGTTGAACTTGGCATGAATGTGAACGTTGGTTAAAGTGAAGCTGTCCTGTTTCTGCCTGCCAGCTACGCTGAATGTTATTACCTTGGAGCTGGACTCCTGGTGCTGCTTGCCATCCGTCCACGACAGCCTCAGGGGCCGAGTTGGTCCTGCAAGCCCAAGTTCCTCTGCTAGTTCGCTCTCAATCAAGGACACTGTCGAGCCTTTGTCCAGGGGTGCGTACGTATCAGCCGCTGTGTCTCCGTTTCGTACCGTAACCGGAATCACCCTCAGCAGTACCCTTCCACTGTGTTCCGACACGTGGGTTGCCGACGTGTACCGGTATGTCATCTCCGATGTGCGTTCTAGCGGTGCTGCACTTCTGCGGCCATCGCGTTGTAGTAGAGGATGGTGGGGTCTGTTACATGAGCAGGCTTTCTACTCGCAAACCCTCGCTAGGTGGCCTTCGCCAAGGCAGCAGAAGCACAGCCGTTTTTCACTAACGAACTGGCGGCGGGCGTTAAGTGGTTCCGCGGGTAGCTGGCGGCCGCTATTTGTGGTGTGCCCCGATTTGCTAGAGAAGAGGTGATGTGGCTTACTAGCACTGGCCTCCAAGACTGTGAGCGTTTGGCCTGTGCGTGGAGTGGCATGAGTGGCGTCACATGGGGTCTGCTGAGCGACTAGGCAAGCAGCCTTGGCCCTCTGTTCAAGCCAGGCAGAGAAGGTGTCCAGGTGCATGTCTTCGCTGGTTTTGAGCATGTACTCTCCCCACTGAATCCGACCCGCGCCCCCCCCCCCCCCCCACCCCCAGACGGCTTGCCAACTAGGTCCTTGAGAAACTGAGGGTTGTAGGGGTGGCCGGTGCACTATGTGCTGCGCAAAGTGGTGACAAGGTTGCGGTACACGGCGCTAATCCCAATCAGTGCCACGATGGCCTCCTCCGACTTCATACCTCTCTGTGACTTCTTCTTCAGAATGAGGTTCTGGACAATCTGGACAATCTGGTCCGGCCGGACGAACCTCATCCTCAAGATGGAGATAACCTCCCCCACATTGTCGGAGAGAGTCATCATCCCCTGCACGACTTCCTTGGCTTTTCCGCGCAGTGTTTTCTGTAATCATCCAAGCTTCTCACCGTTTAAGAAGCCTCACTCTATAGTCGTGTGTTCCAGCGTGAAGATAAAGGCTGGCCACTCGTCGGCATGTCCAGAGAACTGAAGTAAGTCCTTAGCAGTGGACTGCCTTGCCATGAAATTGTGTGTGGTGTGATTCATGGCGTGTGACTGCCTTGCAGGGGTAGGACGTGTACCACTGGGTTCGTTCCCTGAAGCCCGCTCACCTTGGTCGTCCAGCAACAGATCCTGGATTTGCCCATTGGCTTCCTCCAGCACTGCTCCGATGTCTCTCTCCGCTCGCTCGGCGCGCTGTGCAAGGTCAGCTAGGCTAATGCTATCCGTGCATGTCAGCTCCTATCCGTTGCGGTTCTCCAGTGATGGACGGGACGAACTGGACCGTACGCTGGCATTACTGCTGCCGCTTGACCAGTTTCTGTACAACTTCTTCTGGAGTTCTAGCTTCTTGCGGATCAGCTTTCGCTCTACTTCTGCGACCTCTTCCGCGGCGATTTATTCCGCGTCGATGTCGAGCTCGTCTACTCGAGTCTCTACTTAGTTTGAGTGTGGCGATACCGGACCCTTTCCGCAGAAAATCCGGCTCGAAGGACCAATGTTTTGGTGAGATCTCAGTGCCACGTGGCACAACCCTCGTTACAGACACGAGCTCCGAATTTCTCTTGTTGGTTTGAAAGTGTTCTTTATTGATCTGCTCCTGTTCTCGGCAGTTGTGTGATTATAAGAAAAGTGAGTCGTCCATGCAAGGAAAAGCGTAGTATCGTCCTCTTTACGGAGGTGACACAGTGGGTGCCCAAAGGGGGAAAGCACAAACGAAAAGGGTGCTGCAAGTTAGCGCAGTCATGCAGCAACACAACCTGAGAACAGATAAATAAAAATATGGTTTGATGTGAAAATTGCGCAAAAAATTAAACAAGACTGCTGAAGGGTACCCGTTCACCCGCCCGTTAAGAAAATTTCCCGTTTTGCTTTGCCAATTTTTCCAAGACCTTGGTTTTACCCGCGTGTGTATGTGTGTGTGTATGTGCATGTGTGTGGGTGTGGGTGTGTGTGTGGGGGGGGGGGTGCGTTTGTATGTGTGAGTGCGTGTGTGTGTGTGTGTGTGTGTATGTGTGTGTGGGAGTGGGTGTGTGCGCATGAATCCCCTATAGGGGAGGGTTCACACCATTATAATAGGGATTCACACACCTTCACCTTTGTTTTTGTAATGTTGTGTTTATGGATTCTCCACAGGTTTTAGCCTAAATAGAGGGAGTCTCCGTCAGCAGCTTATGAAGAAGAAGCTGAGGAGAAAAATAAAATTAAAAGATAGAAAGATGCAGGGGGGTAGTAATTTAACTCAGTGCTGTATGATATCGGTGCTCTGAAACCAGAGGGCTCAAAACAGGTGATAACAAAGTGGGTGCGGACAAGAGCGATACAACATTTGGGCTGAATACGGTGCGAATGGCAGCCGGGAAGAAGTTCCATGTGACGGTGGTGACAAATAGAAAGGTGGCATGGGTGTGTGTGCTGGCTCTAGCAGGCGGGAGTAGATGTTGGTGGCGCCTGAGAACGAACAAAGTTTGTGTCCACAGACACAGGGAAGAGGATCAGGAGCGGGCCGTGGCGGTGGAGTGCTGCTTGCAACTCGACTCCAGCCGGGACGGGACGATCTTCGCATCTCTCAAGCTAAGTGGTCACACCGAGGTCCGCCACGTTAGTCGAGACCACATCTCGCCACCACTTCTTCGGGCCGTGACGAGGCCGGGGGAGCGGGGGGGGGGGGGGGGGGGGGGAGGGCAGCTCACCAAACAGCAATTGTTTTAGTGTGTGCGAGTCGTCCACCCTGCCGACATGACCTAGCCAATGAAGAAGGTGGCGACAGATGATGCTGGTGATGTCAGGGTCAACACCTAGTGTAGCCGCTAATGTGGTCGTTGTGATCCGATCATCCCACTGTTGACGACGGCTAATACCCATGATGGACCGAATACACTGATGGTGAAACGTGTTGAGCTTCTGGAGGTGGCCTGCCTATCTGGTCCATGTCTCCGCACCATACAATACGGTGGTGAGGATCACAGCCTCATAAACATGCCTCTTGCTGCGAAGCGACAGGGTATTGTTGTCAAAAAACGGGTGCTTTCAGGGCTCCGAACACAGCTGAGGCTTTCGCAAGGCGAGAGCGGACTTCAGCACAGGCAAGACCATCCGAGGTGAGCACACTGCCAAGGTAGGTGAATTCGTCTACCACTTTAATAGTGTCTGCCCCTGCAACAACGTCATTGCGATCAGCAGTCTCACCTACGGCCATACCCTTGGTTTTTCTGACACTGACCGTTAGGCCCCAGCTGGTTGCACAGGTGATGAAGCTGGATGTCATCGCTTCAAAGGCAGGCAGAGATGTTGCATAGAGTGCAGCGTCACCAGCAGACTGTGATTCTGTGACCTTTGATGTCAGGAGCTTGCCCTTCGCCGTTCGATCACCAACTAGCTTCCTCCCAACTTTATATTGAAGGGATATGCCAGTGTCCGGACATCTGGACGTCAAACTGGCAACGACGGCAGAGAAGTTCAAATTGAAAAGCATTGGTTCGAGAGTGCAGCCCTGACGCAATACATTCAGCTTGCCCTCCACCCGAACAGAACTTGAGCAGGAATACCATTGTGGAGGGACTGGATGAGGCGGAGAATTGCCGGCGGAGCACCAATCTTCTGGAGAACCTGCCACAGCGCTCCACGCTGTGTACTGTCATACACCTTACTCAGATCGACGAAAAGGACATATGCATCTGAATCGTGCTCCAACGTCTTCTCCATCAACTGCCGTGCGACGTACACCATATTGATGCAGCCATGTCCCTTTCTGAAGCCGCACTGAGAGTCTGGCAACACATCTTCAGCAATAGCTTTCAGGCGGTCCTGCAGAATACGGGCAAGCAGCTTGCCTACAACGTCCAACGGACTGATGCCGCGTCAGTTATCACAGTGGTGTAGATCTCTTTTCTTGGGGATGGGCACAACCACTGCATCACACCAATCATCAACTACAGTGTCTT